CATAAAGATACATAAGAATGGTTGCATACATACAGGTGGCTATCACAAAAACCTGCATGCCAAAGGGCATACATGGCGAATGTCAACACAAAAGAGATGCCAAAAATCAAACATGTCCTGCTGGGGAGGTGTGCTCAGTAGTGTGACAGATAAAGACCAGGAAATCCTTTCTCTAATATAGGCAATGCAGAGTCACGGCCATTGCACAATAGCCAAAGTTATAGAAAATGGACATGAATCGTGGCAAAAAGGGTATTACTTTGTTTAGAAAGAGCTGTTTATATTTAAGTGCTATTATAGACTTTGGAGAGAAGCTGTTTATTCCCTTCTTTGAGATCTTTATAGAACTCAAAGAACCTAGTGAACTCCTAGAGTCCCGTACAGCTCTGTAATGCCACGATGTAATCTTTGGTTCTACTCAAAGGAACTCTAATGCAGAGTAGGACATTCTCACCAGAAAAATGTTATATTTAATTGGAAGTTTATGAATTCCACCCTGGTGAAAAGCCCTGTCTCTGTCATTTACAAGTGTATTAAGCTAGGTGACCCTAAACAAGTTACCTAATCAGTTTTATGAATTCGACTGTGGTTAAGACCCTCTCTCTACCACTTACGAGTATTAGCTAGGTGACCCTAAGAAGTTACCTAACCTAAGTCAGTACAGGATATTCTTACCAGAAAAATGTTATATTTAATTGGCAGTTTATGAATTTGACCTTCGTTAAGAGCCCTGTCTCTACCACTTCAAGTATTCGTGAGGTGACCCTAAGCAAGTTATCTAAACTTATTTCCTCATCTGTAAGATACCTTGACAATTAAGTGAGATAATGTCTGTGAGTTGTTTCGCACAGTGCCTAGCCCTCAGCTAACACTCAAAAGATGAAAGGTATTATTACTGAAGATTAAACGACAATTTAATTAAATTAAACAAGCACTTAGAGCAATGCCTGGCCCACAGTTAGCTCTTAACTTTAATGAAAAGGTCTGAATTGCAAAAGAAATTTTGAAGCAAAATTTTTTTTATCTTCATGTAGGGGTACCATAGTATCTTAGGAAAAAAATCCACCAATAGTTATGTGACTTTGGGTAAGACGCTGAAACCTCTACAGAATTTCTATTTTCTGCAAAATGCAAGTGGAAGTACATTAGATGATCATTAATATTTCTTCCAATTTTAAAGAACATGGAATTCTAGAGAACACCAGAACTTAGTATCCACTAAAAGTGTATAATATACACTATATAAAACTCTAGTTACAAACTAAGAAATAACCAGTCACTAATAGTATAAGTAAATTAAAAATTAAAAATTCACAAAAGGCTTACAGTATAAGGTACTATGAACATAAAAGTCTTTCAATTATTTAAGGACTAATTAAATAATGAATAACGAATGGTACAGAATTAAAGACAAAACAAAGATATTTTAATTTTTTATATAATTTCCCTTTCATATTCAGAGTAAGAAATTATTTTGAATTTCCTATTCCATAAGAATAACATATATGACAAAGGTTCAGATCCCTGCACTGGCCAGCCACCAAAACTAAAAAGGAATCACATGTACTGAGTCTGAATAATCCCACCTTCCAAATCTGAGGAATCCAAATTAATGCTGCTTTACATCCGGGAGTCAGCACACTTTTTCTGCAAAGAGCCAGATAGTAAATATTTCAGGCTCCAGCAACCCTGCCCTTACAGCTCAAAAGCAGCCAATGTGTTAATGAATGGCTGCAGCTGCATTCCAATAAACTTTAATTACGGGCACGGAAATTTAAATTTATATCATTTTCAAGGGTCCTGAAATATTAATATTTTTTCTGATTTTTCAAATCTATCATTTAAAAAATGTAAAAACCATTTTTAGCTTGTGAACTGTACAAAAACAAGCAGTGTGCAGGATTTAGCCCAGAAGCTATAGTTTGCCCACCCCTGCTGTAATTACATATTTGGGGAAAGAACGTGATAATGTAGGAAATCCAGAATTGGCAGAATGCCTTATAGGATCTTCACTGGTTGCTTTGCTGGTGTTTGTTTAGCCGTACTGTTTTCTCTGCCACTCCTCTAAGGGCTTCCTCTACAACCACCCACCCGTTCTCAGTCCCTGCAGTAGGGCCCTGGGTTTCAGCATAGCTAAGGTAAGCCTGACACCTTGCGGATGTATCGTGAATGGCAGGTGCCACCCTGAAAGTTACCAGCTAGGCACATTTCCTGAGGAAGGGTGATGCAGGCGGGAGGGGGCAGGCGTGCAGGCTCACGGGCAGTGAGCCAGCCAGGTGGTGGTGCTGGTGGGTGGTGGTGGTGGTGTTGCTGTTGCTGTTGAAATGAAGCAGAATAAGTCTGCAATTCACTATCTGCCTTCTCTCTCCAAAGGGAACTTCCAAAAGGCTGTTCTTGGGGCATTTTATATTTTTTAAAAGAAACAGCAAGTTCCAGAGCCTTCCCCACTGAAGTCTCCAAGGACATTCAAGACTTTTCCCCAGTCTGGTTGAGTCTCCCACTTGCAGCAGTTAATATACATCCAAGGAGAGAGAGGGGACCTAGGCACATGTCTCAATCCCACTCCTCTCAAATACTTACAAAGGAGAAAGAAAGAAAACTAGAGGACCTAATTGCTGTTGAAAATCAGGAGTTTCGCTCTGGCAAATGGCGAATAAGGGGCTTCAAGAAGGCGAAGACCGATGATTGAAATGTTACAGCAGCCTGCTGCAAAATGGGATTGCTCATTGCCCGCAAGCTCAGACGTGCACTGTTTTGATGAGATGAAGTGCTTTGCTCATCTTTGGAAAAGGGATGAAGAGGCCATTCTTTCCATTCTCTGCCTCTAGAAGCGTTTCCCCAAGGACATCCTAGCCCCAAATTATTCCCATTCTGTAAGTTATGCAGAAAAGACCATTCTGCAACATGATAGGTTGGGAAGTCCATCTTTCCTCTAATTCAAAGCCATTCCTCTGTGTTTCTGAGAAAGCAGAGAGAGGGGACACTTAGAGGAAAGTTGGGCAGGGCTTCCCGCTGGGTTCTGTAGTCACAAAGGTACTTTTGTGGCTGCAAGAGCCTCCTCTTTGGAGATTACAAGCCCTGAGAATCTCACATGCCTGTTCAACCTCCATAGCTACAGAATGGGGGTCAGATGGGCTAAAAAGAAGCAGGGATTGACCTCAACTATCAGTACCCCCAGCATGAGCAGAGAGCTGGGTAGTTAAGGGTAGGTGAGCGGGCAAAGGATTTAAAGGCCCTGGTCCTAGAGATGCCAACAGGTCTCCCACACCGATAACTCAGAGAAAGGCAGAGGGGGCGATTCTAGAGCCTGTGCTTAGAAAGGACAGGACCCTGAACCCAATCCCGATCTGTGCCATTAAGATAAGTGGGGTGTGAATGCTGAGTTTTGTGGTCTTGACACCATATCATTCCTCTCTTGCTGTGTTCCACCCCTTTCCCCAGGGGGAGGTGGCAGTGTGGGACAGAATGAATCAACCTCATACGTATTTGTGCCTGAAGCTGTGTGCAGTGCAGTGAAAGGGTGCTTGCCATCACTCAGGAAGTCCCCCAGGCAGCTCGCGGTATTCCAGAAGAGGAGGCAGAGTTTTCAGGGGCTGGAGCTCTGCTCGCCTCCTGAGGGAAATGCTAACGATCCCTCTGGGGTGATTCCACTTTGCTGCCAACCTCATGGCAGGTGACTCGCCACTCTGCTGTCTCTGCCCTGGACCATAACAGTAACTGAGTGCGTGGGAGAGTTAACCAGGTGGCCCGTTTGGGGTTTTTTCCCCCTATCTCCAGTTTAGAGTGAAAAGTAGGGACACCGTGCAGTGCTTTTTAGTGGATAGAGCGATTTTAGCATGACCTTTTTTCCACCACCCTCTTTCGCTTCATAGTTAAAAGCGCTGGAATCTTCTCCCTGAGACCTGTCTTCTGACACAGATCTCAGGAGTGACTGCAGCGATCTGAACACTGTCGCTGAGACCAGTGCAGAAGCCTCTTCGCAGGATGTGTCCTGGGCACTTGGCCCCCGAAGAGGGAGCGGCTGGGGTCTCCCCAAGGACGCCGCCTGAAGGGCCAATCCAGCATTGCAGGAGTTAACGTGGGTCCGCGCGCGGAAAGGAAAGGGGAAAAAAGTTGGAGTTGACACTTGGGGGTGGGGGGACGGGTCTTGCCGACTCCTGATTGGTTTTACATTTCATCCAAAAAAAAATTTTTTTTTTCCTCTCTCTCTCCTTCTTTTCAGTTTCTCTCTGATCCCAGGGGAGGGAAAACAGGAATAGTGAGAGATCAAAAATAAACCTCTTATGTCAAAGCCGGGAAGGAAGTATAAATACGAAGGGCTCGGCAGCCCACTCGGTGCTTCCCGGGGCGGGGCGGAGGACGGGCGCACGCGGGCCGGGGCGCCATCTGCTCGC